GATGTATGCTCATTTAATACTTCATCTATCAAACGTTTGAAAAGCACCCACCTCTGTCGTGCAATAGAGCGTTTGACAATGCTCATTGAGCAATCCACAACTGCGCAATGAACATGGCAGCTTTTCATGTCATAATTTCTAACTCACTAGTCACCAAGCCAACATCAGCAAAGAGAACATGGATTTAAAAGCCTCATGTGTGGGCTCTCATTATAGTATCGGTTAGAGGTGTTCATAAAATATGAATTAGTGATGCAAACCAAACCAGAAATCTCACGAATATATCTAGAAATATAACTAAAAACATTGTAACAAGTTAACTTCGAAAGGCAGCAGTTCATTGTGTGGTGCAATTGATCAACTACGGAGGAGTTACCAGTTTCAAGCACAGCAAGAATTACACTCACAGAAAGCATACAAAAATATGTTTACATTATTGTAGGTCATTGGCGGGGGGGATCCATTTTATACATTAAATTCATCGGGGTTTTTTCAGTTGTCTTTCGCCCACAGGAAACTTTTTTTACTTGGATAATGGTCCAAGTTCTGTGTCAAAGACATGATTACCTATTTTTTTTCGGAATTCCATCTCCGTCAAAAGACACTTTACAGTTGAAGCTCAGTTGTAAATAGCAGTCGTGTCATCGTAGGCATGATAACGAGACTTTGTAGTAGCCATTTTCTTTGTCAGATACTCCAAAAACGGGAGTGTGTGTGGACTATTTCAAGTACTCCTCAGAGTCCTTGACTCCAACAGGAAATGAACTACAACTTTTTTTTGTCGTCACACATAAGAAGAATTTTTGTGTGATAATATTGTGGAGTTATGCAAAGTGCCACGATATATAAATAATTAATAAATAAATAATATAGGGACATCATATTGATAGTAGCTCATGCCCTGAAAAAGCGTGGCCCCCTCCGTTCAAGAGTAACACGTTACCGACCACACTGCTCTCGGTGTACGGGAGGTAAGTTTACCGTGAGAAATACATACCCCTGGAGATAACCAGGCAACAATTGAGCTATACCAAGTGTAACTCTGCCATGATACAGGAATACAAGGTTGAATTTTGTTTGTTGCAGTTGATTGTTATTTGAGATTTGCTAAGTACTAAACTGGGTCGGTCTTGAATCCCTACGCTTGAAAAGATTTGGCAATTTGAGAAAATACAACCTTGCATTGTCTTTTATATTGCTTGATTTCTTTGCTTTCTAAATGAGATGATTTTTACCTTCGCGAGACACTTTGAACAAGATATTGTGCGTTGGCTAAATTAATATCCTGTATGTTTATGTTCTATAAAGTATATATACAAAATCAGATACAGCTATAGTGTATGGCTTTGAAATTTACACTTAAAATTTGAAAACATAAAAAGGCTTGAGACAAGATGGGTATGAATAAATGAATGATTGAATGAACGAAACAAAATTTTAATTTGCATATTTGGTCAATGTAAAAGTTTGATTACACAAATCTATAACTTGTGGCAATATAACGTAGAAATACATTGGATGCCGTTTTGCCACATGAACGTTAAATATCTTGTCTTTGTCAGGTCATCAGTTGAATATAGGCTGAAAAGCATTTGAAAATCAATGTATTCTGTTTTTAATGTATGTTTTAGAGAAGAACAATTCACTCTCACATTCAAATTTAGTCTCTATTGAACCTATCGTGCATGTTTTTGGAATGTAAAAGGGACCAAGAGTACACCGAGAGAACACACAAACTGCACACAGGAAGGCCAGGACCCAGATTTGAACCCTCAACCTCAGCACTCTGATTGAATGTGCGAACATGCTGCCGGTTCTGAGGTTCAACACCATTTTTGTTAATTGAGCTGTCAAAGATCAGATTGGGTGCCATTCTTGTACAAAAACCGAGGTCACAGTTTATGAGGCAGGATGAGAACCATGGTCATGGAATTGACCCCTTGTTCCCCTAGTTTTTGCTTCCTTAGTAATTGGTTCTCAGGAGTCACCCCTAATCTGTGTCAGTTGTGCTAGTAAGATTAGCCACACTATGAAATGTAATGCCCTGCAACTATTGGAACAGATTTTTGAAATGTAACCTCAAAACATGATTTGATATCTTGGAACTTCTGTCTTTGGGGCACTTGAAAAGGCGTTCCTGTCTGATCATTGGCCCTTGTCTACTCCAAGGTTTAAATAATAGTTCATGTGTTTGAACATATTTTTAATGCTTTTGTCATACAATCTTCTCTGAGGGTGGCACAGTAAGCTTAGAAAGCTAACCAGGTAAGGTCGTGGATTGACTCCTTCTTTCAGCGTTTCTATAAAGACCAGTCCTTTGTTTTTTTCCTAACGAATGACAAAAGTAGTCCAGAAACAGACCGGATTTAGCAAGACCCACGTTGCTCCTTAATACCATTGTCCTTTGTCATGATCGTCAGGAATGTTTTGTGCCTCAGAGCTTAGCTTCTTACTTGCTTTTGCATGAGATCCTTGTATCAGTTTTACACCGCTGATGTCAAACACACCGTATACCTTCAAGCCTGCTTCAGTCTGACATTTTTATTTTATTTTTTTTAATTGGATAATATTTCTTTTGGGAGTGCAGAGAGTGAAAGCCCGTGTTAGCAACAATAGCTTGGCAGACTTGGCAGCAAAAATAACTGAAGGGGCCGGGTCTTGGCAAAGGGCAATTGGCACTGTGAGGAAAACTGTTGAATATGAATAAATAAATAAAAACAATTTCAAAATAATTGTGCCTTTTTGATGTTCAAACTGATGATTGTAGTCAAATTTTTCTGGAAATGATTGTTTAAAAAAGGCATGCAAAAAGACTGGAACATCATGTGTATTTTGTTCAAACATCTTCCTTCTGGCAATTTGTTTTTCTTTCTTTTAGCTAAAACACCATCTTGGCCAAGTAAACAAGCAATTTGGAGTAGCAAGAGTTGAGTGGGATACACGCAGTATTCTTTCTGCTTGAAACCTACATGGCATACCCAACACGATTATTACATTATCTAATTCCATTCCAACACATGTATTATTCAGGCTCTGACAACATAATGCTCGGAGGAAAAAGGAAGAGATCTGCATGAGTTGACTCATCTCTGAAAGCCACAGCGATGCGTTTTCTTCCTTCTGTCAAAACATCACATTTTCATGGTTGTCCCCATCAAATTATTGCAGAGCATGGTGTGGGGCAAACTTACCATTTAAAAGTTGGATGCAGTCTGTTCGGAAATCACATTGTTAAAGCCAAGCAGTTTCTTTATTTATCAGGATGCTGAACGTATAAGCAATAATCTATGCTGAAGTATGACCTTAGATAAGCTTTGCCCTTGCCACATGAAAAATAACTGCCCCCAAGAGACTTGAATGTCTTGCCCTTCCAAGCAACAAGGTCACATGGCTCACGGTGCACATCTTTACTATCCTCTTAGGGTGTCGACATCAACCGAGTTGTGTCATTCTAGCCGGGTGCCTCTATTGGCAAACGTAATATGCAAATGCATATGGGATATTGGTTTATTAGCACATAGATGTACCGAAAACAGCGATTAAACTGATTGATTCGGGCAACAACAATTGAGCATCCCAAAGCATCACTTTGGAGACTTAAGTGTTACGACTACTGAAGATGCTTTGGTCTCTGAAGCCACATGAAGAAAGATGAACAAAGATGAAGCGTAGCGCGCTCACTGATGGTTCCCATGATGCTTATAAGACCAGAATCGGGAAGACCGGTCACCAGAAAATCCACAGCTGAGGCTACAGTAAGATTTTTAAATCAAGCCCAACTGGCGAGTCTGCCATTCAGAAAATTTGCTCAAACCAAGCTCAAGTCACCTCGGCAATGACAATAAGGTAGATTCAGCCACACTGTTCAACATTTCAAAGAGCAATTTGAGTGTGCATAGAAACATCATCCATTAGTGTTGCTTTCTGAGAACCAAGATAAGTAAGGTATGAAAAGAAAATAGCGAGGGAGTTAAGAGTATGTAATGCAAGGATAAGGCGCATCAATGCTCTTTATATGCCGGGGACATAGAGACTGTCAGGAGAGTTACAAAGACGGATGAATGATGCAACACCGTTCAGCACTTGAGGAAGATGACATCAGATGCTGACACCTCGATGGACATACAATATCTCCAGTCTGGCATTTAGATGGCTCCCCACATTTACTAGCGTGGAGTCTGCTGATGTATGTGTTGCTTTTGTCTGTGCACGCTGGGCATACAGTGCCGGATGAAAGGTGAGACGTGAGCAACAATATATGTGAGTGAGGTTTAGCCTGTGCTGCAATACTGTAGGGTGGACCTGTGATGGCTCCTGGTACATCAGGATACAATAGCAAAGACACCCCCCCGCCCCCACCTTGCCCCTTCCTCCACCACAGTGTAATTGACATTTGTGGATGGGTGGACCATTTGGCTGTGAGGCTTGGTGCCCAGCCAAGATTTTTCCAAAATATTTGTCAACCTTTATTCACAAGTACATGAATAATCTGTGTTCAGCAACATCCATGATTTTGATATTATTTTGTGTTAGGCTAAATTAACGTTTTTTTTTATGGCTACTGAGAGTCATCCTATGTATTTATTGTATGGCGATACCTCATAAAGGTACTTGGATATGTTGAGACTTTATTAATATTAATATGTCCCACAAGTGGAATCACCATGATACAGTAAAATCACGGCCATGTTTGGATCGAGCTGAGCCAAACGGATGTACAAATCAATCCCATTACATTTTGACAGTGGTTTTGTATGTGTTGCAGGTACAACGGTGTCACGGGGCATTTCTTAATTCAGATATATATCCAGTATTAATCTGAGATCTCTGCAAGTAAAATGTAGTACATCCTTTGCGCAAAGCGCCCGGGGGCACAATCCCACTACAGCAAAGCGACGAGGTGGATCGGCAGGTGGCAGTCGTGTCCTTTTTGCGAGACACATGAGCGGTCCAATCTCCCACATGCGCAACATCTAAACCTATTTTCTCCCTCTCTATCTCTGACACTGGTGCACATTCAAACAATCATTTTGACACACTCACACATACGCACAAAATAATAATAATAATAATTAAGACAAATTTCGCACAACATGTCTTGTGTTTAAACTGAGTATGCCATTTCGGGAGCCGCGCAAGTTCAAGTGAGCAAGCAACATGTCGACTGAGGGAGGAGAAGAGAAACAACGTATTGCCGCTCTGCTCCTGATTCAGCAGCAGTGATCGAGGGAGCACTTTGTCAGAGGGAGGCAACCCACATGACTGCTTATCAATTCTACGCCTTTCCGCAGTACTGCGCCGTCCGGAACACGCTCTGAGGTGCTCCACATCCCCGTTTCATGCAAGCCCCCATGCGCGGACTGCAAGCCGGATCTTGTGGTCACAAGCCTGAAGCGTTTGCAGCCCAGGGAGGAGGAGAAGGACCGATAGAAGGACACTTGAATGAGAAGCACTCAGCATCATCTGTGCCCGTGTGTCGATCGCCTCGGTGGTTAGGTGAGACTTGATTTTGAGAGATTTACACACGCGTGTGGCGCAGAAGTGAAGCTCCTCTTCAGTGACCCGGGTCCAGTCTGCACATGATGATATCAATGCACGCAGGAGAGAAGAGTATTTAAGATTTCAGAGCAATAAAAATTCCCGCCGAATGTAGCTGTTCGATGAGGCTTCTCCTCTCTGTTTTTGGTGTGAGTATAACGTTACATGACATAGACTATTCGATTGAGACTTTTTCTGCGAATCCGCAAATCTTCGGGGGACAAAATAAACTACAGCTACACTGAGCTGCGGAATCAAATTCGGTGGGATTGACGGCTAAGAGTAAAAGAGACTTGGTGAGAAGTGACATTTCCAAAAGTGAGACGATATTGTCAGAAAATGTCACATATGGGCGCTCTCATGTGGAGTGAAAGTTTTTTGTCTGTGTTTTTTCCAGGATGCATCATTCTAGAATAGAAGCTGAATCACAAACCATGTGGGAAGATTTATCGATATTACATCTTGTACGTTTACAGCAGTGAAGGAATAACAAGTGTGCAAGTCCACAAATCCCGAACTCAGGAGACGCGTGGGACATTAATGGGTCGAGCAGTTGGAGCAATGGCACTTGTGGGTCCCTCAACGCAAAGAGCTTCGTGGAAAATGGCAATATCGGATATATCACCATCATTTTGAGAGTTATTTCCAGATCTGGACTGATGGATGGAATGCTTATTGTTGTAAGAGCGGGGCTAAATAGCCCCGCGTTGTGCAAGATCGCCTGAGAATTGCGGATTTTTTTTTTTTGAATGCAGTTTTTTGTGCTTTGACCAAAAGACGGATCGCTCCCAAAAAGCCTCATCCAGCAGGAACGCTGTCTACATGAACAAGTAAGAATGTAGATCGCCTGAGAATTGCGGACGTGCGTGTGTGTGCGTGCGTGCGTGCGTGCGTGCGTGCGTGTGTGTGTGTGTGTGGGGGGGGGGGGCGCGTGCGTCCCTTTACTTTTCTCACGTCTCACTATAACGGCAAATCCAATCACAACTGTCATTGTCGTAGCAGTGTAAAGGCAAATTGTTATTGCAGAAATATCGGCCTTTTGCAACAAGACTTTCTTTGTGGTCTCAGACGATATCTGATCAATCTTTCAGCAAGCACTGATTTGACAGATGATTTGAATCGCTGCACCGCGCTCCCGTAAGTCTTGCTGCTTTTCAATGCGCTCCCGGGAGCCTCGACTCAAGCTCACGTGCAGTTTCGAAAAAAAAAAAAAAAACGTGGCTCTGTTTCATTGAGAAGGATACAATATAAAGAATCTTAGGCACCACCATGGAATGGTACACTGCACCACGTTGTACACCCTCTGAATGCAAAGTAGGCAACAGCTTTTTATTCATCACCAAACCAATCTGCAGCAAGCCAAATTCATTTGAGTGTGTGATCGAGCGGTTATTTTTGAGACTTTTAAACATATGTTACATAGGAAAAACTATTTTGTATGCATTTCAAGAGCAGCTCTGCTGTTGTCACATAACTGGTTGCCTTCATAGTCAGACATCACCTGTCAAGTATATTCCTGGCATGGCCTGGATCTACACAGAAGGCACTTGTTCCTTGCCTTCATTGCGCTCTGTGATGGAGCTGTCCCCCTTTTAGTGGTTCTGAAATAGAAAGCAGCCTTGCCTGTCTTGCAAGAGCATACATTAAATGGCGATATATGTTTTAAGATGCATGCCTTCATTGGTCAGTTGTTGCTTCTGAATCTTATATCGCCAGTTTAATGTATTGCATTTCATGTTAAGTTTGGGGAAGGCCCTTTGCTGTTCCAACACGACTGTGCTATACAATGGGCAGCGTAAGACCCATAATCGTGTACAAAAAAAAAAAAGTTTAGCGTGATTTGCAGATTTTTTTTTTTTCTGGATGTATGGCAGAAACCTTAGTATGCATGCTGAGAGGGGAGATTGAGTGGACAATTTATTCCATGTCCCTCTCAATGGCTTAGCGTCAAAGTAAAAGCTCAGCCTCTTATATGTGCGTGTATTTGCCATCAACAGATATGCAGCCAATACATTGTATTACTTGTTTCATCATGCATGCAATATCGACTCACATTTAGTCCCCGACAGGTGATCCTGGAGTATATTGCATGTCTGTCATAATCAGTAAACCATAACCCACTGTTGGTGTTAATGCATAAATGGGGCTAGCTGTCACTTTTCACATGAAGAATGAATCTCCATGTGAGAAACACATCAAGTATCTGTCATTGTATGAAAGAAAAACATTCTGTGGTGGAGTGACATCACCTTGGGACACATTAGAATGCTGATTTTGCTGTTCTCCCGCAATGAGGTTACCACCATCAGTTCTCCCCACACGCGCGCAAGTTTGCAGTTAGCAAAGTGGCGCAGGATGATTTATAGTGGTACAAAGACAGATGATTCATTTTTCCACTTGCAGACCAACATGCAAAATGGGAGACCAACATGCAAAATGGGTTTGCATATTGTCAGTAGAAACATCATAACTATTTAAAAATGTACAGGCAATGATGGACTTTTTTTTCAATTATTGTGAGAGCTATGTTAGCACTCTACAGTAGTTAGCATTATCCTTTGAGCAGGTGAGGAGACCAAAAGCGTCAGTCATCTATTTCAAGTCCAATTTATCTAGTTGTTGCTGTATGATGCATCTGTTGAAAATCGTTCCATGCAGCCATTTTGGGAAATTAACGAATTTGCCACATAAGAAGGAGCAAAGCAATGAGAGACCGGAGTCTTGACAAATTCGACCGTAAACCCATGTTCGCTTCCCACGCTCTTGTCATTTATTTCCCAATTCAGCCAGCGGCCTGGTTCAGATCGGGGCCAGCACTTGGGGCCATATAATGAAATGATCATTCCTCAAATCGGATTAATCCTTTACAAAGCCCATCTTAGAACACCATTAGCATTCATTTCTCTCACTGCAAGGGACTTGTTTCAATAATGGAGCTACTATACTATATTTCCCATCTTCAGTGCTTCTGAAATGTCTCAAGAGGGTTCATTTAATAACAATGGTGCAATTACATAGATCTGTATTCTGCTCCCCATCCACTTGTCTTGGGGACAAACAGATCCATTTGCGAGGTTTGAATGGAAGCTTGAATGCAGGACGTGGAAAAAATAAATAAATAAATGACGTGTGGACATGGACACGATAACAGGGTAGGTTGTAAATGCTAGTGCCTTAAACTGATGACAGGGGTGGAGGAACGGATCAATACAACACCAGCATGTGCCATGAGAGATATACTGAATGTTTCTTTCTTATTACTGTACAATATTTTACATTTACAACCGCGAAAGAAAATCACGGCGACAACGACATATCTTAAATACTTAGACCCCTTACGACCCCTTAAATTTAAGGGGTATTTTTTGCAAACAAGTATATGTATGTAAATAATAGGGCAGTGTGTTTTTCTAACACCTCAAAAGGTGCAAACAAACCATTTTCTCGTTCAACATGTTTTTGGACCACAATAATCCCAATAATTCATTTATCCACCCACCGGTCCATTTTCTTCTGCTTGTCAGTTGAACAATAATTTGCATAATTAATAGTCATATAGCGCTTACGACCATTGCCAACAGCCTTCAATTTCCCTGCACTCACGAATAAAGCCAATCAAGTTAATAAACCTAAATGTAATTATCACATAGAATTATATATCAGCAACAACCATGTCCGGCCCCCTCTCAAACATGACTTATTCTCCATGGTTCGTCCACACCAGCTCTTCCACGGACTAAACTCTCAACTGCGTTTCAATACTTTCATTGTGTGTAATCTTTGTTGAACACACTTTTTTTTCTAGCGTCAACTAATAATAACTTTGACACGATGGCTGCTGGCATGTTGTGGCGAGTGAGAGGCAGCTGATGTTATTGTGATAAAAGCTTACCTGAATGGATGACAGCTGCACTGCTTCGAAGAGAATGTTGAGGTCAAATTTGTCAGCGAGGTGTTGATTGTCGGTGCAAAACCACAAAGAGAGTAACATCTGAATACAGCAGTGTACACCTAAGATACTTTTATAACTGAATGTGAAAAGAAGGTGCATCAAACATTCTATTTTATTTTTTTAATTGTTTTATCATCAATTTTACCCCACAAAAATCAGGAGCATTGAGTAGAAGTTTAAGATCTCTTGGGTTTTTCTGAAGATATATTTCGATTCCTATCTTGCCCCAAAAATTTGACTGGATGGTCTTCGGGCCTGCATAATTATCATTTTCAGCAACCAGGCCAAAGCAAGCGTACACATCACCCTGACACAGATGGACTCGATCGGTATCTGCAGTCTCCCCACTCATTAGTCATCCTCTCCAGCGTGTCTGTCTGAATGTTGTGTCCGAGGGAAGAACAGCTGAGCAGGGGGACAGCCGCAGCACATTCCGCCAGTCGATGGATTAATCAATCGGTGTTCCAGCTCATCCGATCCATCTTCAAGAATAATCTGGTCGACATCGTAAAAGTGCTATTCTGTCGTTCTAGAGGCCGGGGATCACTTGACTTTTTTTTTTCTCCCCGTTTTACCTCCTCCTCTCGCGCTACACTTATCATGAGAACATAAGTGGATTAAATGGAATTTACTGTAGATGTGCGTTCAATGGAGTTCACACTGAGGGAAGCCTGCGTGTGGGTTTGTTTTCTTATTTGTGTATTTTCATCACAAAGACGAAGTAGAAAGAAATTCATGAATTCAGTAAAGGGCAGATGTATGGTTTCTTACCCTTCATCTCACATGTCTCACCCCATTTAACGCATAAATATGTACCTTCCTCGATGATTCCAGTTTCTCTTTCTTGGCATCGCAAGAATGTCACACACGGCTAAAATGTGAACTGGCAGCAACCAATATTGGACTAATGTCATGTCTCTGATAATGTTTGCATGAAATCACCATAAATACTCAAACACACACCCAAACTCACACAGGAAGAGAAGTTTATACATACACATTGTGCAGAAGCCATTTTCTCTGCCTTTGGGCCCATTGGATGTCCTGTTTAAAATGGCTCTGGTCCACACATTAATTCCTGCTGCTTATTTGGAGGTTAAATGGAATGTGAACTGGTCGAGGGCTAGTTTCCCAAAATATGTCTTCCCAACCAATTTTCCACTTGCATGGTGTCCGTATAAATTATATATATATATATATATATATATATATATATATATCAGGTGAACTCATTTAACCTTGGTAACAAAAAAAAACACAAACATGCTACCCAGTTTCATACAGTAGGACAGTCAAATGCGAATGTGATCACATAATTATCAAAAAAAAAAAACAACTCAAAATTTTACCTGGAAAAAAAGACATTCATTTGCAGGGCTTTAGAAGTGCATTACAATATCTAGCATTTGGCATGGACTAGTTAGTAATTTTTGAATGCCTCATAATACAACATTATATATTGATAGGTGATGGCTGGATGGATGATATGTAGACAGTTAAGCAATCCACCTTTATCTCTATATTATCACCACATGCTTATTTCAAAACAGGAAGCAATGATGTAAGAAACTGCTCATCAAAATTAATTGCTGGATTTAATGTTTTACCACAGGGCTTGCGCGAGTCTAAGCCTGAACTTCTGTTTGCCCTCCTAAAGTGGTGGCTTCTGCATACCCATGGGTGCAGAATTACAGTCTATGATCTGAACAAAGTGTGCTACTTGATCTTTTGCACTCATTTAATCTATACAAGTTAGCCATGAATTACAGTCTATAAAATCATTTGCAGCAGGAAAACAGAATGTAATGCAGAATTTCACACGTCACAAAGTAAGGGCACATTACCTATTTGAGCCTACTGAAGCTATACACAATAGCA